GCTCGCACGCCCACTTTGCAACCTCGTAATGTTTGTCAGCCAAAGCAGAAGTGACTATTACCCACAATGGGCCCCAGACCTGCCACTGCGCGGAGCAGCTAGCCAATGGTGCGTACATATTTGTTCCAGGTCTACAAACACATCAACAATAGCGTCCTCTAACAGCTGTTTGGGAAAATATTTGTAATGGTGGTAAATGTCTTTTATCGACATATACATTTTCATATTAGCAGCATTACTGATAGCAGCTGCTCTACGATGAAATTATCATTTATTTCTCACCTTTGCAAATGTCCTTTGGTAATTAGTTTACAGTATTTTACATACTGATTTCTTGAGATTGATTTACTGTATGTGAGAATAAGGATCTTTAAGATTTCTCTTGTGTACTATACAAAGGCAAATTGTATTGGGAAAGTCATATTGCAATAAAAATGTTATTCAAGTTTCAATTAAATGCCCATTTACACCAAGAATAGCTACGACAATAACCATAAAGTTTTTAAAATTTGTTCTGAAGGTCTGTGCATACTGAGAAATAACTATAGTGGTAACATAACGATAACTATTAATAGTACACTCTAAAAAATGCTGGGTTGTTTCAACCCAACTTTGGGTCAAATATGGAGTAACCCAGCTTTTGGGTTAAAAATGTAATTAAAAAAATCTAACCCAACAGTTGGGTTAGTCCATATTTGACCCAAAGTTGGGTTGAAACAACCCAGCATTTTTTAAGAGTGTACATTATTGTAACTGCCATCAATATATTATTATAAGTGTGTGCTTATGCTATATCATTTGCAGCTTTAAATGCTCAAGTGCTGTAAAGACTGATGGATTCTGATTGGCAGTCAATGTTTTTATTGTTCAACACCTGGAAAAAAATCATTCTGAAAGTGTTTCCAACGGTACCAATGTTGCTATTTTCATAGAATTAGAATGATTATTAAAAGAGTACAGTTACCATCCTTTAACTTAAAGAAAACAATTTTTTTCGACTGATGAATAATAAAAACATTGACAGCCAATCAAAATCCATTTGATCGAACAATAATACACAATAGTTATCATTAAAGTTATCATTACAGTTATTGTTCTTGGTGCAAATGGGCCTTAAGTCATAAATCTTGAAAAGGCTATTGATTATAAATTGTTTTAACGATTAAGAGACCTTATGTTACATATAACTTTCTCAATACAATTTCCTTAGTACAATACTCAAGTTCCCTGAGGAAAAGGGGATTATGTCAAGCATATAAATGCAAATATAACTTCTACTCGCTTGCTCACATATATACATGCACTGATTGACAGAAATGAAATATTATTTAGAAAGAAATAACTGCACCTGGAGTTAATATAGGTTATTTTGGAAGCTTGCTAAGTTTAGCATTGCTCTAAGGGAATTTTTATGAGAGCCAAAAGCACCTTGGTACAGTTTTCTAAAAATTTTCTGTCACAATGCATTTTAAGTTTGGTCTGTCGTTGCTGTGAATCTTCTTTATTTTCCTACAGAATTCTTCAGGGAGTGCATGCACTCATTATTAGCTGGAAAACAAGGTTATTTTGTTTTTCCTGTTTCCGACTCATCTCTGTGTAGAAAGTCGGGCTTTTACTCTAGAGGTACAAAGAGAAAAACATTTGAGTAATAGTGTTGGCATGAGCGTGAAATGGTTAACTTTAGAGTGTACCACAAGACAAACTCTCCAAGTTACCTGAAATGCTGTCTGCTTTCAGTTTTCTATGGTAGAATGAGCAAAACACCGGGTTCTTTTAAGGACTCAGAACTAAGATGAACCTCAGATATTGCTATTGTAGATATAATCATAATGGCATACCAATCCCCCACGGTCAGTCTTTCGAGAGTTTGTTCATCTGAGCACCAGTGTTGTGCATCATTCAGAGCAGAATTGAGAACACCTTTTAAATTATAATTAAATTCCTAAACAGGATGCTGAATTTGAATTCAAATCGAATTAAAAGGTTACAACAGATTTAGATTATCTTTCAAATAAATGCTTTTCTTTTGATCTTTCTATCATCAAAAAAATCGGGGAAAAAGTATCATGGTTTCCACAAAATATTTAGTAGCACAACTGTTTTCAACACTGATTATAATAAGAAATGTTTTTAAGCACCAAATCAGCATATTAGAATGATTTCTGAAGGATCATGTACACTCTTAAAAATAAAGGTTCTTCACGATGCCACAGAAGAAACTTTTTTTCTAAATGGTTCCATAAAGAACTTTTAACATCTGAAGATGAAGATGTTTTGGTGGAGTCAAAAATGGTTCTTCTATGGCATCACTGTGAAGAACCTTTTAAGCACCTTTATTTTTAAGAGTGTAACACTGAAGACTGGAATGATGATGCTGAAAATTCAGCTTTGCTATCACATGAATAAATGAAATTTAACATTTTAAAATATATTTAAATAGAAAATAGCTATTTTAAATTGTAATAATATTTCACAATATTACTATTTTACTGTATTTTTGGTTAAATCAATTTAAAAAATGTTTCAAAAACATAAAAAAATTTACTGATCCCAAACTTTTGAATGGTAGTGAATATTTCATTATATTTAATAAATAAAATTTTGTGGTATTTTTTGGGAACATTTAAAATCTGTTTTGAAAGTCCTGAACTTAAAAATATCTCTAATCATACAAAAATAATATTTAATATCTGATCAAATTATTCACGTTTGGTCACAAATTGCAGTTCAGTAAAATAGAATTCAGCATCCTTTAGGTGTAGCCAATTAAATCAAACACCAACTCATGAAAGGGATCAAATACTTAAATCCTGAATTCGGCCCACATAATATAAGGTCATTTTTTTCAATATGAATCTTTGTATTGGTTTGGTTCATTCCTGACCCTGTTCTCAAGTCCGTACTGGTAGTTTGCCATCTCTCTACACCCCTCTCTGACGTCTTAGTGGGAATTATAGCTGTTCCACTTGAAGGCCTTAAGCTGATTACGGAGAAAGGTAGCCACTGTCTGAAGGGGCAATGTGACTTTGTTTGGATTCTCTGGGTAATTTGCGGCATCCTCGCACCGAGATGTGAAGTCAGAATACTAAACTTTAATCCTCTGCCAAGCTGAACTCAATGTGTGTCTAATAAGGAGACTTTGCGAAGACTTCATCCGTCAGCTGCCTTTTCTTTGACTACAGCGGGTTTGATTTGAACCTTCAGCCATTCATTTCCATGGACATCTCTGTTTCAGCAGAGTGCACTGACATTAGTGGCAGTTTGATGGTGAATGAATGGGACAGCACAAATGATGAAGGCCTGAAGGACACAGATGGACAAGAGACAGAATGAACAACACATTTGAAATAATCCAGTACAGTCAACGCAGTACAGTCAAACAGCATGAAATTAAATCAACATCATCATCAAAACTGTGTGGATGTGTGAGGTTTAATAAGCAGTTGTTATTGCTAAATAACAACAGAAGCAGAAGGTAATGGAGCATGTGAACGTGCACAAAAGCATACAGAGAGTGGCAAAGAGTGCAGAAAGTGCATGTACCACTATGAAACACAGTCATCTTTGTAGAGAATGCATATGTCAGAAAGCAGCTGGAACAATCTATATGAGAGGACTGCTGCTGCTTGACAGATGCAGGCAATTCTATATGTGCCAATTAAGAAAGAGTCCAGCAGAACATGTAATTATTGCACATGATTTTTTTTTTGCCTCTAATGCTGGTGTCACCAACCACCGTGGGCGAGAACGAGTAATATAAAATGTATTTATTTAGTTGTTTATTTCAGAATCGTTGAAGTCCCTCACATCTTTTATATATAAAGAGCTGTAGTAAGGGCTGAGTGATAAACAATATCATATCAAGATGGCAATAACATTTTTGTTGATAACAGTGATACTCTTTGGACATTTTTACTCGATATGGATCATTTTGTCAGCCGATTGCATAGCAGAAACAAATGCGTCAACAGCCAGTCAGTGCATGTCGCTAATAAGTTTCTCTGTGTAAATGAATGCCGTGGGTTTTCAGCACCTGCCGTCTCAAGATATGATGATAGTCCACATTTATTTCATCTCCAGAGCTGCTCTGAGAGTCGCTTCGTGAGCTTTTCCCTATTTCTTCTGAGAAAAACTACCGTCAAACACGCACTGAAACTCAAAGGTCTTCATGACAACACGTCAAAATAAAATCTTAGTCTGACATGAAGAAATTTACAGAAATATATTACTAATATTATTTTTAAGGAATATCATACAACTAAGACATATTTATAATCATGTTTTAATCTATACAGCTCTGTTGTGCTGCATTTTATTTGACAAACAAATAATAATGAAATGCTTAGTTGTGAATTACATTTGTTACATGTTATATTTTCATTTGATTACATTTTAAAATATTGATTATATTGTTAAATTTCACCAGACATCATCTAATGATAAATTGCTGATACATTTGTATTAAATTGCAAAGGATCTAGAAAAAAATGTAATGGAAAATTTAGGGAACAGAATTTAGGAACGTAAGGAAAAATAAATAATAGATTTTAAAATATATGTTTTGAGGCCTAAATTAAAAGGTATAGCTACTCTGTGGAGCTTACTGCCATTAATATATATATATATATTATACACACACACACACACACATATTTGTTTTTGTGAAAAGTAGGGACATCCCATAAGCGTAATGGTTTTTATACTGTACAGACCGTATATACTATTTTCCCTACACCAACCCTACCCCTAAACCTACCCCTTACAGGAAACGTTGTGCTATTTCAGTTGTTCAATACACTCCATTCTGTGTGATTTATAAGCGTTTTGAAAAGTGGGGACATGGGGTAATGTCCTGAAAAGTCACCTTCTCCTTGTAATACCTATGTCATACCTTTGTCATTATACAAATTTATCGCGTGTGTGTGCTCGCATTTGTCACAAAAACGAGCACACACACACACACACACAAACAATACAAATAGGAACCCTGTGATACTCACAATCGGCCTGAGCACATATGAGACACGACGTGCTGCTGTTGAAGTACGTTAGCAGTCCAGCTACAGCCATGCTGATGTCTGTATTAGTGGGCCTGAGGTCCAGCGTGGTAAAGCGAGGAAACTGCACCTTCAGTATATCCTCCGGAGCCACCTTCACGTACGGCACCTGTACAGGGACACAGAACATGACAGAGAAATTGAGCCCTGTAGGACCCCTCTTGTTAGGCTGTTACCGCAGGTAAATTGAATGAAAGAACATTGCAGGAGGGCGTTTTGTTTACTGCGCTGTGATGCGGGTCTCAAGAGTGGCTGTGCAACAGAATCACTGCATTCTCATCAGACTAATTAGATCCATTTTACGCCTAAAACTAATAAAAACTCATTTGAATAATTTCAAAAGGTCCTCTCTGAAGGCATGCGAATTAACAATAAAAACTCAGCAACATTAGATGAAATAAAAACGGATTTTTTTGAACCTCAGCGATGATTGAGGCAGAATTTCTCTCTGTGTAAAGGCCAAGTTAGATGTTTATTCAGACAGAGGTCATGTGCAGTGACCTTTGACATCTTCCAACAGTCTTTGAACAGAGATAGAACACAACGCAAAATGTCTCGCTATCCATGGAGACCTCAGCGTTGGCTGCTCTCTAATTTGATGTGTGCTGATGTGCGGGTGTGTCGGGTTTGGGAAAAGTGGGTGCTGGTCTCATTGGGGCTTGAAGGGGATCCTAGAGGACACAGGCGGGCTGAGTAAAGGACCTCTTCATCACAGCAGATTGCCTGTCTGCGATGGGCCGTGTGTCCATGCATTGTACTTGCACGGCCCTGTATCCCCAATTGGTTTTCCATCGCTTTCCATCAGGGAGTAATGGAGACCCCGCCAGTGTGGATGGATGGGGCACGTGGGCTCTCCGACACTCGGGGGACAACTGGGATTCTTGGAGATGGAGGGTTCAGAGAGAGACTGGTAATGGGCTTGCTGCAGTGAAGAGACATGTACAAGTCTCCAACCTTCCTAGAATCGTTATTTCTATTTCTCAGAGAAGATGCTTTTCTCTATTCCCCACGCTGGCTTTCAGACAACATCCCATCTGTCCAAAGCCCCTGTGCTAACTTGTAAATAGCAGCTATAGTTGAACTTCCTCCTGTGTGCATAAACTCTTGTTATTCAGAGGTAATTCAACAGAGTGACACATACAGCTCAGCGAGGAAAGACAAACAGCACTTATATGAACAAGAAAAAGCACCTTCAGATTTTTCTAGATTTTCCAGCATGAGATTTGAACTAATTAATGGTTCAAATGGAGCTTCAAGTGGAGCTCCTGGGTAACAATGCTGGGCAGTGAAATTAACTTCACAGAGGTTTAATGAGCTGCCATGTGGACTGACTCCAGCAGACATTAAGATGTTATGTCAAGGGTCTTAATAGTCAGAGTGGTTTACTTTGAGGAACCAGTCATGATTATTGGACATGTATAGAAACGCATTGTAAACAAGTATTTAATATTAGCTTGAGTGATGGAGTTTGACAAAAATAACATTTTGAAATCCTGAAGACTGTACTGGACACTTGTTTTAAAGGGATAGTTTACCCAAAAATGAAAATTCTGTCATTCATTACTCCCCTCATGTCATTACAAACCCGTAAGACATTAATTCGAGAATACTTTTTGTGCATAAAGAAAACAAAAATAACCACGATGCATAATGCCATTATTTTTGTTTTTTTTTGCACACAAAAAGTATTCTCGTAGCTTCATAAATTTAAGATTGAATCACTGATGTCACATGGACTATTTTAACAATGTCCTTACTATTGTACCTTTCTGGGCCTTGAATGTGTCAGGTGTCTATGCAGGGTCAGAAAGCTCTTGGATTTCATTAAAAAATATTTTAATTTGTGTTCTGAAGATGAACAAAGGTCTTATGGGTTTGGAACGATATGAGGGTGAGTAATTAATATCAACATTTTCATTTTGGGTGAACTATCCTTTTAAGTCAAATTTTTAACTGAATCAATCTGATTCATGAATAAATCATTCAGACAGGTGTTTTGAATTAGGTTAATAGATTCATTTAAAACGATTTGATTTAAAATATTTGCTTGTTTGCTCATTCACAAATTGGATATCAATACATCTCTCATGAACTCTCATTAATAAGCTACGGGGAGCAATGCTGGCTGTCAGGATCTTCAATAATCTTGGAAAACACAAAATAAAATATTTTTCATGAAACCTGTGAGATTTATGTCTCTCCAATGAAAGCCAATGACACCAAACGTCAAGAAATTCATAAAGAGATTGTAAAAGTTATCTGAAGAGACATGATCACTTTTCATTAAGAACAGATTTAATGTATGCTTTTATTCACATATAAACACTGATCAATGCATGTACATAGAGCACATTAAATATGATAAAAGAAAACTCAAACATGCTTGCTTAATGCGCAAGAACAAACCTTAAGACCATTTAAATGTGTCTACGTTTTTTTGGTGTAAAAAAAATTCACTGGAGGAAGGGACATATTTCAGGTTTCACTAAATAAATGTTAATTTCTGTTTTGAAAACGAACTAAAGTCTTATGTGTTTGAAACAACAAAGGGTGAGCAATGGATGACAATTTTCATTTTTGGGTGAACAATCCCTTTTAAATTTCAGTATGCTCATAACCCACAGCTATCGTATGATGTGGAATATATAGTGCACATTTTATATATGTGGAATATAGACCACTTTTATTGTGTCACGTTTTATACATCTTTAAGCTAGAAAGCTATAGTCCCTGTTCATGGTAACTGCAGGAAAAAAGCCACATTCTTCAAAATCCTCCATTTTCCATGGAAAACAAAGTCATACAGGTTTGGAACAACACGAGGACGAGTAAATAATGACAGTATTTTAATTTTTGCGTGATCTATCCCTTAAAAAGACTCACATTCGGACAGATGTCAGAATCTAATGTCTCATTGCGTGCTCGAACATACATAGTAAATATCCATGGTGTGTGAACAGGAAATGGAGCATAACACTGAAAGGGGTTTGAAAGCCATTTTGCTTGTGGTTACAGCACACTGCATATGCATCAGCATCATTTCCAGGGCATAAATAGAAACTCTTTGGCCTGGTGGAGCCAATCTGGGCTGCAACATTGGAATTGTGGGCCAGAGGGAGAGTTGTGTATGAAGGTAATATCAGTCAGTCCGTGTGCTGTCTGCTCCTGCGGGTTGACAGAGTGGCTGTCAGGCCTACAGATTCACTGCTGACAGGCTTTTAATGAGGGGCCTGGTGCAGGCCAAAAGCAGCTCACTGAAGTCAGGCAAACAGCCACGCAACACTGCAGTATAAGTACATGTGCTGAACAGTTCATTTAAACCAGAGGGAACATGCTGACCTGGTACAAATGAATATTGAGGCACTTAACAGATGCTGCATTTTGGACATTTTTTAATGTAGAACAGTACAATTGAATGGTTTTGCAATAAGTATCTTGTGAATTATATTGTAACTGTTTCGACAATTCAGTTGATTTAATTATTATGCTTGTACACATTCTTTGAGCAAATTGAGCTCTTTGTTGGTCTTTATCTAAATAAATGTGCATTGCCAAAATGTTTTATTTAAAGTACACAATCATTTTTGCAAAGTCATCTTAATAGGATTTTAAACTACAATAAGGAAATGACATTACTGTGCAACTGCCAGACTAAAATATGCAACTCTGAATAACAAAAGTTGTTGCGACATCATGAGCATTACTTAAAACGTCCCTTGGCTTATTTAAATAATCAATTTAAACCTCATAGGGAAATACATGGCTTTCACAAAGTGCCATTTGTGAAGTCATTTGGCACACGTAAGGTTTTCTCACTTAACCATGAAATTGTGCAGACTGTTGTGATGCTGTGCTAAAAGAAACTCTGCAGTGTAAAACTCCCACCTTGACCTTTTTTACCATTCGGTATTAAAGTTAGGCCTGGTTTTACTGAGTATGGTCATCCAGCTTTCTACCTGTGGCTCTGAACAAAAACACATCCATAAGGGTGGACGGTCTCAGGAGGGAACCCTGGGGGATTTCATGCCATATGGCAAGGTAAAGTATAATGAGATCTTACATCTGTTCCCTTACGTGCCAGAGGAACAAAATCATGTTTAATAAAAGATCACAGAATTTTAACCAGGATTACAGTGTCAACTGATACAGCTGGACATACTGTTGTTCTGTAAAGTCGGCCATATTTGTCCGTTGTCATGCTCAAGAACTGCAGTGAGTGACAAAGCCATGCTAGGTTGCCTCACAGGTTGGTGGGGGCGGATGCAGGCAGAAAGCAGTGCAATTACTCAAAGACATGGAGATCGGCCATATGGGGATGGCAGAGTGGCTGGAAGGGTATTGTGAATGATCGTGACATCGCACACCTCTCTAATGTGGTGCAGTGGACCATGGGAAGTCAGCTGCTTGGGGAAAAACACACACACTCAAGCACTAAGTGGAGTAATCATGTTTTGGAGGCTATGTGAGCGCTGAGAGTCCCTGGTGGAGGGAGCAAAGAGAAGAAAGGCCACCAAGGCCTTGAGAGAAAGCTGAGCATTGACCACAATCTCATTGATCAGCCTGCTGAGAAAAAAAAGAACGCTTTCTACGATCACTGTTTTGCAAAGCATCACTGCTGGTTCTGAAGAACACAGAAATCCTGTAAAAGACTCTAACGTTTTAAAGCTGTGACCGTGACTACTAGCGGTGGTGCAGGTGGAAAGGTGAAGCCGTGGTGAATGGAGGTGAATTGGACAAGTCATCTTTGGTGAATTTCAAATATTTCATGCATTCAGCCATTGTGGACAAATGTGTAGCACTCCATGTAAAACAACAAATCAATCCATTGATGCTCAAGGGTAGTTATGGAAGCCAGTTCCCTCCTAAAAATAAAACAGGTAATTGTGAGAAAGCTGATAATATGAAATAGCTATAATTGTAAGTAATAAAGTCACAACTGTGAGTTCCCTTTCAGACGGTCACTCCCGACATCACGTCGGATGACCGACGCACCAGATGCAGCGCATATTCAGCTTTTCGCTTCGGAGGCCGAGCGATCACATCGTTCAGCTCCTGACTACTCTACTGAGAGAAGAAGACTGAACGAGTTCAGCGCGCTCTTTGAGAGCT